TCGTTTGTTGTCCTATTCGTGAACTTCAAATGATTGCTTCTCTTTTTTTTTTTGTCCCTCTGTCTCCTACTTTAGCCGATCATGGTCGTTTGTTGTCCTGTTCGCGAGTTGAGATGAATCGCCGATGATTGCTTTATTGCCAATATTTGGTTGATGCTATCACCTAGACCTGCAGTGCCCTCTTATTCCTACGAATTCAAAATTCAATTTGATGCTATCACCTGGACTTGCAGTGTCCTCTTATTCCTGCGAATTCAAAACTCAACACCGCACTGAGTCTCCCGCGTAGTTATTATTACTATTATTTTGCAGCTGATCATTGGAATTAAATTTTGATCTAGCAAAAAAAAAAAAAAAAAAAAAGATGGACGACTTCGTCACGTTTCGTGTACCGACGGTGGAAGAAAGCGACTGGGTGGGCATAAAAAACCAAGAGAGGGTAGTGGGAAATGTAGTGGGCACACGACCATCACGAGAAGACAGGGGATAAATATTAGTCAACCTTTTCCATAGGGCCTCTGATGACCGGCTTATGAGAATGGAAGGAGACAAGGTGCAATGGCATAAAAGCTCAGAATTATACAGAATCCGGGTCTTAAAAGAAAGGGATGGATGGCTGGCATACAAACCACACAAACCACCACGATCTCACACCTTGGTTTTGATCCGGCAAACTGGACCTGGACACTAACCCTAGGTAAAGGAAAACAAGGGCAGCGACAACTACACACACTGTCAGTCAAATCAGCTTATAGACTGTTGCGCCCCAAAAGAACCTTAAGAGGCATAGTAGAGGACAGGTGGATGAGACACTACAAAGAAGGTTAACCAATGGTTTAGACTAAGTAGGGCCTCCCTGTGACGAACTACTTCCCGAACCCGTGCTATCTTTCGTACCCTTTTTTTTCGCTTGTATCATACCATCCCCATAAAAACCCCGTTTTGTTGTCTTGATTTCGGGTGCCGCGTTTTGGGCCCCCATCTTTCGGAAGCTTTTTCGATTCCCGGGTTCTGCTTTTCTTTTTGCATTTCGGGAAATGCATAGGAAGTTACGTGCGCCTTAGCGAGCGCACTGGGAATTGGGCCCGGCAGTTGGGAATTCCGGGATAAGCGAAACTTCGACGTGTCCTTTTTGTATGTGTGAATGTTCTCGGTCGCGTTGGGGAAAACTCTCGGAATTTTGTGCGGATACGAATAGGCGTAGGACTTTCTTTTCCCACGTAGCTTTTCCACGCGCGGATATGGTGATCTCAATTTTGAACTGGTAGGCAAGATGTAACTGTTTCGGTGCCTTTTCCTCTCTTTTTTGGTTGACGGCGCCGCGCAAGCAAAAACTTTCGTCTCTCTGACCCCCGCATCTCTCTCTCCCGCGGTCCTCTTTTCTTTCCCTTCCTCTTCCTCTCTCCTCGTAACTGTTTTTCTTCCCCTCTCTCTCTTTCCCGCTCTACTCCTTACGCGCCCATTTTTCCTTTCTTGATCATCTGAATCTTGGACCTGTCTTGCGCTACTTCTCGCGCCTTTTCCTTCTCACCCTCCGAACTCAGCACACGACGCCCGGTCGATCCTTCGATAACTCCCGCTTTCCAATCAGGTACGTCGATCAATAGGATCTTCCTGTTGCGCGATGAATCTGCTTGGTTGAACCTTAAGTTTCGAAGGATCAACATGGCTTCCACGGAGCACTCTTCTCAAAGTCTTCTCCTCCTGCTGCACTTCAACTTTCCCCCTGCCTTCTCTCTCCCTCGCCCCCCTTCTCGCTGCTATAAATTCCGCAAGCGCGCCCGCAAATCTCTCTTACGTTCTCGACTCCTGAGCCGGCTTCTGGAAAGCTGTGGCTAGGAAGAGTGGTTGATGCGAGTCGGAAAGTCCTGTCGGGCTGTCGAGACTCGATAGGCTGGCCGGTTGCGCGCTTGATCGCCACGACGGACTATGGGATCTAGGCGAACCGCGTCGAGTTTACGTCAGCGGGGTGACGATTGCAGTGGTGGGAGTTAGCTCGCGACGGTCGGGACCATTGGAGCTGGTATGGGGATTGAAGGTTGGAGTTGAGTGAGTGATTGGCCCGGGGCCATATTGGAATTACCGGCAAATGCACCTTTGTTATTGCGGATCTTTATCTCTGGTGTGAGTGCCTGGCGGCAACGCCGGACTTTCTTCTTTCGGATCCTATCATCTCCTATCTCGATTCTCTCTCACCTCCCCCTCTCTCCTCTATCTTTGAATGATGATGTGTCTTGATGTTTGTCTCTTTCTTGGATGGGAGTGAATCGGTGTGTTTTTCGGCGTGAAAAGAGCTTCTTCTGGAACTCTTCCATTAGTTTCCTGGGTACTCCCCCGATGTCGAGGAATTGATCCTTTTTGTCTTGTGAACAGTAGATGCGTGTGTACAATTCCCTTGGTTGATTTCTGACTTATGTACCCTCGTCATTTTCGCACCTTCCACAGTGAATGTATGTATGGGGATGCTTATCCTTCTGTGTTGATTAGGCGCCGCACTTGGCGGGATTTTGTTCGAGAATGCAAGAGTGTTTAGATTTGTGAATGCACTGTGCATGTCATCTGCCTTATGCTGCACGACATCTGCAGCCGATCTACCGGGCAGCCTCGAGAAACAAGGCACCTGGGATCACCACCGAGGTGGGTAACGAAAAGCTAAGTTGCGGGTCGGTCCCTTGGTTGCATGCATGATCGAGCTAATGAGTTTCTCTCTCTCGTGTCGAAAAGGATTGATAGGTGATTGTGCGAGTGTTTTTGTTTCTTGATGACGTCCTGAAATTTTTGCAATTGATTGACATGTGGACTAACAAGCACCCTTCGATTGGGCGTCAGCCTCCTGTACCTCCCGTATCAACACGATCTTTTCCCTACAACGAGGAAAGGACGCGTGTATGCAAGTGGGACGTACGAGAAGCTGTCGCGCAGATCGGCGGACGATACTACTTCCCTCCAGCAAACCGTTGTTCAGGGTTAGTAGAGGCTGGGTTTGTCATTATCGATACACACTTTCCACCCTACTCGATATTGTTGTCATTCAACGAGTTGATAGTCATTCTGTGGACGGCAGTAGAACCCCACTGGCCGCGTACTCTATGCACCGAATGCCAGCGTTTTGAGCGCTAAGAAACCAAGGGTTTCCACTACCGTGTGCGGAGTGAAGACGAACATAGAGATAGAGCCACGCGACTAAGACCATCCACGTCGGACTCCGAACTGGTCGGTGAACGACAACGAGATTTAATACGGAAACGAGACACGCGAAATGTGCCGAAACCTTTCTGCTCAAAACGACGGACCGTAGCCAGGTGGGAAGTCCAACAATATTTTCAGGATTGAATTTGTATTTCTCTCTCCTCTCTCGCGCCAAACTTCCGCCCGCGCAGTTCACGCCGCGTAAAAAACGATCGACTTATGTCGTCGGACCAACACGGGGGATTTCAATTCCGCCTGTGTCCCCACACTCAATTTCCAAAAATCCTTGGCACACCTCATCTTGCTGTTTTTCTGGGCCTCTCTCCGCACATCTAGCACTCAGAACGAAAGACAGCACAGGGCGTGAGGTTGGTATCGGAGCCGATACGTGTCGGTTCTGATGATAGTAAGTCGAGCTGGCGAGAGGTAGAAGAAGAAGTCCCCCACCCGCTCGCCGAGATCGTCCGGTGACGAGATCTATATCTGGTGCGGCTATACCGGCTATACCAATGGTAGACGGTAACCGAGTAATCGTTAGCATCCCTGCCCCTTTCCCCTTCTTCCCTAACCATACCCACCCCGAAGCTTGGCTTGAAGCCGTCGAGGCTCAAGGCTACAGCGCGGGCTATCTTCCCCGCGTTCTTACCTTGCTACTCCGTAACACTTCGCATGACTGGTTTAGAAAGCATACGTGGGTAGATTGGAATACTTTCAAACAAGCCTTCTTGGCTTGATTCGATACGGTCAGTGAAGATACCGCCTGCTATGTACTCAAGACTCGGCCACAAGGACCAGGAGAGTTGCTACCCGATCTCGTGGATAGGTTTCAAACCACGTTGGACAAATCTGGGCGAGATGAGAAGTCCGCTCGAGATTTGTTCATTGATCATCTACGAAGCCCGTCGTTCAAATGGAAGTGACAGAAAAAGGTCCCGCCGAAAATACACCAACTATCTGCTATCATCGCTAAGGCATTGAACTGGACCTGGCTGGTACAAAAAAGTATATCAGCCAGGGAGACGAAGATATTACAAATACCATACAGGATGTAGCGGCTAAGAGATGATCATGGTTGCCGGTGGTAGAGCAGTTCTATCCCCACCCCGACCATGACCTCCCCGACAAAACCGCTTCCGATATCCCGCCTGTTTCTACTTCTTCTCCCCCGGTGAGTCAACCGATAGCGGCAGTTAAGAGCGGAATTTCCCACGAACCCCCCTCGCCGGCCGTAACCAATTTACATCTTGCCCAAATGATCCATACGGCCACTACCAAGCAGTCCGAATGGATGGGCAACTTTATCCAAATGCAGGCCGCTCACAAGGAGCGGATGAAACACATAATGAGCAGGTTAATCAAGCCTAACCCGGCCACTGCTCGGCCTGCCCCCTTGTCATTTCCACTCTTGCCTGCCCCGCCTGCACCAAGATATGCACCTCAGTTCCCTCACCCAGTTAATCCTGCAGGAAAGATCGAGTGTTTTAACTGCAAACAGCCCGGGCATTTCGCCCGGCGAGACTGTCCGCAGCCAAAACATAATCAACCCCCACCTGCTGCGGCCCCAGTGGCCCTGAATCAGGGACGAGTGGCCGCATTAATGGATACGGCTCAAGGTGGAGAGCTCATGGCATATGCCCCAGAATCGCCTTCCCCCTCGATGACAATGGCATCGACATCGAGAGCTTCTTCTTCTGACGCTGCTGACGTGGTCGATCCACTTGAGTATCTTCACCTCGCAGGCATGATCGGAGCGATCCGATCGGCCCCTGATGATCTCGAATGGGTCGTTCGCGAATCCAATCCTGGTCCGCAGTATCGAGCGGGAGAAATTGATGTATTGAGAACGCTTAAGCAACTGGATATTCATGTTCCAATCCCGGTGGGACATCTTCTCACCATATCTGAGGCGACCAACGATAAACTTTTGCAACATTGTCAGAAAAATCAAAAGCGCTTCACCTATCAGCGCATACAGCGAATGTTAAAAAAAAAGGAAGAGAGCGATGAAGTTACGCCGCCCGAACCCGAAACTGGCGAGCCCAAAGCCGCACGAATAGCAGCGATCTCTTTAGCAGAAAAGGATCACTTCGTACGATCTCGACCGGTGCTGTGGAAAAGCGCGAACTGTGATTGTGAAGTTTGGGGCAAGCCGTTTAACGCCCTTATCGACACAGGGTCTTCTGCAGTAGCTATCTCATTGGACACTCTCAAGAAGACGGAACGACTCAGACCCATTTTTCCTCAATCTGGCAAAGACAATTATGTCTCTGCCGACGAGGAAGCAATGAACATCGTAGGCATTATTGAGAATGTGGCTGTAAAGGTTGGACGGGTGCATGTCCTTGTTAACGCATTCGTGATAGATGTGCGCTCTTATTCCATACTATTAGGATTACCTTGGGCAATGGCGGTAGGCGCACGTTTGCATTTCGATTCAAAACAACTGGTGCTCACGCAAACTGGAGGAAAGCCTCAAACTGTTCATTTGCGAATTTCCACCCGAACGATAAAACGAACTCCTAACTCAACCCAAATAGGGATGATTCGATGCATTGATCCCTAGGAATATTCTTCCTCAGGCATCGGTAGCAGAATCAGGGAACCGGAATATGAAGAAGAACTGCCTAGTGAGGAAGAATGGAAGCATCTGGTCGAACTTTTCGAACACGAAATTCCCGAAGAATTTTGAGTGTGCCCCGACATCGCCCGAAGCTTTCACGTGGATTCAGAAGGCAGCGCGCTCACGCCTCTGACAACCCAAGTCAGTCCTTCCATCCTCCTCGGGGAACCCATATTGCAAGTGTCCGACCTGGCTGATGACTTGGAACCCCCTCGCACCTTGTATGAGGGAGAACTTTCCTTACGAACGCGTTACCAGCAAACGGAACAATATTTGGACGTGTATGTTTTTCCGCCTAGATCGCTACTAACGACAGGTGCAACTATCGCTTTGATTAAACAGGAAGCAGAAGCACCGGTAGGGAATGTACCTGATCTGATGCAAGAGATGACGGATCTGACGGGACTAGCTGTGGAACCGACTTCGGATGATTTAGAGACTGATGCCGAAACCAAAGAAACCGAAATGATCACCCCCGCTGAATCTCAGATGATAGCAACTGTCTTCTCTGTTCACACCAGTAGTTCCGTTTTTCGAGCGTCTGCGATCGACGGAAACGGCCGGTTGATTAGATCGACATACCCCTTGAGACTCTTGAGGAATCAACGATCACCCTACCGAGCCATGTCCCCCCGGAAATTCGTCAGTCATTAATCAATGTTTTGAACGGGTATGCAGAGGTGTTGAGCGTGCATGATAACGATATCGGCTTAACTAATGTGATTGAACATGCCATCCTCACGGGAGATCATCCGCCCATTAGCTGCACTCCTTACCGATACTCGCCAGCTCAAAGAGCGGCCGCTTTTCAGCGGATTAAAGAGTTCGAAGCTAATGGATGGATCGAACCCGCGATAGGTCCATGGTCTTTTCCCGTAGTAATTGTGCCCAAAAAAGCCGGAGGGATTTGCATTTGCATTGATTATCGGAAGTTCAATGATATTACGATTAAAGATGTATACCCCCTCCCCCGGATTGATGAGTTATTGCGATTGGGAGTGCTCGATTTTTTAGGAAGTTCGATGTTCGTCACGAGTTCCATCACCTTCTTGTCCGAGAAGAAGATCGTCCGAAAACAGCGTTTGTGCTTTTCGAAGGTACGTGGCAGTGGATTCGATGTTCGATGGGTATCTGCAACGCCCCCGCGACCTTCCAGCGAGCCATGAATATGGCTTTCCAGAACTTCGTGCGGACGACATGTTTGGCACAGAGCATCATCAACTACTGCGTGATTGTGTACATGGATGACCTTTTGGTGTACTCGAGTTCCTACGAGGGACACGTGCAACACATCGAGTGGGTGCTGCATGCGTTATGAGATGTGGGTTTCGAGGTGGCATTTGAGAAGTGTCAATTTTTCCTTACCTCCATCTCCTTTCTGGGACACGTGGTAACGGACCAGGGACTCCAACCGGAGCCGCAGAAGGTGGCAACTGTCAGGGATGCGCCGGTGCCTACGACTATCACGCAAGTTCGGGCCTTTTTGGGCCTGGCCTCGTACTACCGAAGATTTATCAAGGGCTTCACGGCGATCGCGGGACCCCTCATGAATCTGCTGCGGAAGGATCAACCATTGATTTGGACGCCGGAGTGTGATCAGGCGTTTTCAAAACTCAAGGCCGCTCTCATTTCGGCTCCGGTCCTTATAAGGCCGGATCCCGAAATGCCTTTCATCCTCATTACCAACTGGCAGCCCGAGGCAATTTCGACGATCCTGGCACAGGTGGGACCAGGCGGGCTCGAGAACGTGGTGGAGTATGCGTCCAAATCAGTCCCCACTTGCAAGCGCAACTACGCCGCTCCGACAGGAAAATGCTACGTGGCGCTCTGGGGAATCAGTCACTTTCGTGCTTACCTGAGCGAAAGTTCACCTTGGTAACCGATCATGAGCCCCTGTTGGCCTTGAAGAAATCGAAAGATTACTCTGGCATGATCGGGCGATGGGCAATGGTGTTGCAGAGCATGGACTTTGACATTCGTCATCGAAAGCACGAGAGACACGGGAATGCGGTCGGACTGACACGACTGCACCGGCCCGAGAAGGTTCCGAAGAGTGAGGAGGTGATTCCGTGGAACGAACCAGAAACGGAGGTTGGACCTCGGTACGGCCAAGTGGAGATCTTGTCGAAGAAGTAAATGACACAATTGGTCTATTCTACCCTCTCCACAGTACAGTCCCCGTCTCTCCTCCTCTATCATCATGACTACCCCACTTGTCTCCGCAGCCCCTTCTTCTCCTACTAATTCTGCCCCTCTCACTTCCTCAGCTTTCTTCGCCACCCTTCCTGACAAATTCTTCTATTTTTGCACGTGTATTGCACGGGTTTATGGGGTTGATTGTCATCCTTTCGAAACCGGGTTTGTCGATTGGATAGAATGTGCCACGTGTGTCAATCGTGCGCACGGGGCCTGCGTTCGACATCGGACGAGTAGCAAGGAATGGAGGTGCCCCCTGCGTAAAACAAACAAACTCCCCACGGAGGTCCGATTCGATGTCGCCCGTACAGACGGCCCTGAATACGACGAAAAGTACCGACGAGCGAAAGTTTGGATGGATAAAATTTTATTGGCAAAATTAGTGGGATTATCATTGGGTCACCTCACCAAACATGACAGACGTAGGGCAACCGAGGGATCTCGGGACTACCGGTGGATCAACGGTCACTTAGAGAAGCGTAAAACTGAACAAATCGGGTTCGTGGTTGACGGTTCCCCACCCATTCCAGAGATATGATTAGATCTCATCGGCTCACGAAGAACAGGCCGCTCATTTCGCGATGCGTGTAACAGAGGCAACTATAGACCAGAACCGATGGTTCTAGTCCAACATACGAGATGATGTTAAATACATTGTCGCCAACTGTCTGGTCTGTGCCGCCGATCGCGCCCCAATACGGGGACCAAACACGATAGTACCAACGGAAGTAGAGCATCCCTTCCAGCGAGTCAGTATGGACACAACAAATATCGACGTGCCACCTGGCCCGAACCGATGTGAATATTCTATCCTGTTGGTATTAATTGACCATTTCTCCAAGTACATCGAGGTCTATCCCTGTAAGACCCGCAAGGCCGCAGAAATAGCCACATACATCGATCGGTTCCTCTACATCCATCTAGATACGGAAGAAATCCTAACCGACAATGAGTCAGAATTTAAGGGAGAAGTAGAAAAACTGCTTGCGCGACGGGGCGTCACGCTCCGACATACGGCCCCACACGTTTCTCAGTCGAATGGCTTGGCTGAAAACGCCAACCGCATGATTAAAACCGCCCTCCGCAGGAATTTAGCGGCACACGACACTCGTCCGTGGCCCTAGATCGTATATCAGATCGTCGGAATTCGCCGGGCTACCCCTCATGAGTCCACGGGGTTCACCCCCTTTCAGCTTCGTACTAATAGCCTCCCCTGTGTCGACTACCGGGGCAACTCGGAAATTGCCGAAGCAGGGGGTAGAGACACGCGTGCAGCCCTCAAAGGCCAAAAGGTACACCAAATTAATGGAGCGGGCCGTCCCAAAGCTAGCCCGAAAAAGACAAAGAATGACCGATCTGGCCCACGGTAGACAGGTCCGTAGTTACGAGGCTCGGAATGGAAATGCTGGGCCCCAACATCAATATGAATTAGGGGACCTCGTGCAGGTATGTAAATGTGCACGCGACCGGGAACTCGCCCCCAAATTCTCTGGCTGTTTTCGCGTTGTCGAGCACGGTTCTAACAGCGCCAACACGGTGCGCATCGCGCCTGAGGCCAGTGCCAGCCATAGCTCTGTCCCCATCGTCCGACATACCTCTTACCTCCGTCCTCTTCCTTCCATCGATCCTCCTCCCTCTTTCTCCTCGGAAAGCGAGGAGAACGGCGACGATCTAGTGTGTGCCGCCGTCGCGTTTCGAATCGAAGGGAGTCCCCACGTAGTGGTATTGGCGGAAGCAATGGCAGTTCGTCGGCGATCGAGCCACGTCACTACAGTTGCGGCGTTCAGCGGCGACATCAATTCGGTCAATCCACTGTGGCACACCGCGATCCTGACCTCGCTGCGAGAGTGGACGGAGCAAGTGTCCAACGTGTGGCAGCACGGCCTCGCCCGACCAGGGCATAACCTCCTCCCGACCTTTGCGCCGGACTTTGACGAGATCCGCCGCTCTCCGCGCGAGCCACCGATTCAGATCCCCACCCTCGTCCCTTTCCCACGCCCCCAATGAACCACGCCAATCTTCTGGCTCCTCTCTCCATCTTCGGTCTCCCCTCTCTTTTCCCCACCTTCTGGCAGTCCGATCTCCATCCTTCTTTCCTTCTCATTTGAGCCTCTTTCTGTCCCACTCATTAATCCAGGGCATTGGCGACTGTGGCGCGAGGCTTTTGTCAAGCTGTCCTTGTGCTTGACCCAAGTGTAGGTGACGTGGACGCAGACCAGCGAGCATCCTGGGTGGATTGAGAATTTGGAGCTGCTGATCATACAAGCTTGGAAGACCAACATAGAGGGCGATCTTCTCGGCTTTCTCTTTGGATCGGTACGACCAGGCTGCCGCCAGTTGATTGTGCAGGAGCTCATCGCGCCGATCGTCCAGTTGGCGGACGATCTCTCGCCCGACATCGTCTCGCAAAGCGACGACAACTCTGCCCCGCACGTCCTCATGCGAACGTTGGATCCGTATCTTCAGTGGAGTGCGTGCTTGGAAGAGCCCGGGGACGAAGACTCCCTACCGTCACGACAGGAGTATCTGAAGCCATACGACATCATCGACCGCGCCTTCTATCCGCAGGCTGAGGAAGTGGTGATCAACGACGATGAAGAAGACGATGACGAGGAAACATCGGAGGAGGGAAGCTATAGCGAGTACAGTGAGGGAGAACAGAGCGAGGAAGAGGAGCTAGAAGAAGAAGAAGAGGAAGGAACCGGATCGGAGTGGGAAGCCTTGCCGAAAGAGGCGACACGTACGGGTACCGAGGCGGAAGATCCGGAGGCAGCATGCAAGCGGGAGGAAATTGCCACCGGAAAGCGCCAGTTGGAGTTCACCAGTGAAGCAACTCTGCGCATCAGTGACGATCCGACTCGGGATCCAGAGCCGCTGAAGCCAGGAGATGGCGACCCTGCAGCCGCCACCACCAGCACCCCACGGCGGAGACGGAGCCGATCATCCTCCTCCTCCTCCTCCTCCTCCTCCAGTCCCACCCGTCCCCCAATTCGTCCACGTACGGATGCGGGGGATAGGCCTTCGTCCCCGGACCCTGTCCCACCGTCCCCTTGATTACCTCACCCTCGAACAGATCCACACCCCCGTCACCTTCCCCAACCACCCCTTCCTTCCCCATCTCTTCCGCGATTTCTACTCTACGCGCCTACTCGCTACCGTCTACCCTCATCGCTCCCTTCAACCTGCTGCCCCCACGTTCTGTCTAGACATCTTGTTGTTTAGGGCTGCGTGGGAGCAGTGTAACATAGTAGAAGTCTATTGCGTAGTCACGGGAACGATCCCCGCCTATCGCCACTATGATCTCTTTCGCACCGCGCTCTTCCGCACCCTCTCCTCCCTCTACCGCGACTACCTCGCCTCTCTCCCTCACAGCAGCGGTCGCTTCCCTCGCTTTAACCAGACCATCCGCTATGAGGAGCTACCGTTGACGGTAGAAGGGATGAATCGCTACCTTCCCCCACTTCCTCCCCGTCGTCCCCGTGAGAGACCCCCTCTATACCACCTCTACTGGCTCATTCCAATTAGGAGGTAGATCCCGATCACGTGACTATTCTCTTCATCTAATTGGCAGGGGAAGTCGGCATGAATCAGTAAGCTTCACGAAGATCACGCCAGCGACGATGACGTCAACCTACGCTCTGATTCGACGGACAGCGACAAATTGGGGTGCAAAGCACACGGAGAACCGACGGACGATGATGGCGTCACCTGGACGACCATCCATGATTCTAGCAGCTCGAGCCAACAAAATATCGCAATTGAAGATGGCGTCAACATAAGCTCTGACTGGGGGGTTGGTTGATACGCTTGGCTCCTCATGCATCACTCAGATCTCTCTCTTTCTCTCTCCCTCTCCGCAATGACATGCAATCAAGAGATCGCATAATTTTGGAACCCCCTGCGCGTCACATATGTGATGAACTACTTCCCGAACCCGTGCTATCTTTCGTACCCTTTTTTTTCGCTTGTATCATACCATCCCCATAAAAACCCCGTTTCGTTTTCTTGATTTCGGGTGCCCCATTTTGGGCCCCCATCTTTCGGAAGCTTTTTCGATTCCCGGGTTCTGCTTTTCTTTTTGCACTTCAGGAAATGTATAGGAAGTTACGTGCGCCTTAGCGAGCGCACTGGGAATTGGGCCCGGCAGTTGGGATTTCCAGGATAAGCAGAACTTCGACGTGTGCTTTTTGTATATGTGAATGTTCTCGGTCGTGTTGGGGAAAACTCTTAGAATTTTGTGGAGATACGAATAGGCGTAGGACTTTCTTTCCCCGCGTAGCTTTTCCACGCGCGGATATGGTGATTTCAATTTTGAACTGGTAGGCAAGATGTAACTGTTTTGGTTCCTTTTCCTCTCTATTTTGGTTGACGGCGCCGCGTAAGCAAAAACTTTCGTCTCTCTGACCCCCACATCTCTCTCTCCCGCGCTCCTCTTTTCTTTCCCTTCCTCTTCCTCTCTCCTCGTAACTGTTTTTCTTCCCCTCTCTCTCTCTCCCGCTCTACTCCTTACGCGCCCATTTTTCCTTTCTTGATCATTTGAATCTTGGACCCGTCTTGCGCTACTTCTCGCGCCTTTTCCTTCTCACCCTCCAAACTCAGCACACGACGCCCGGTCGATCCTTCGATAACCCCCGCTCGCCAATCAGGTACATCTATCAATAGGATCTTTCTGTTGCGCGATGAATCTGATTGGTTGAACCTTAAGTTTCGAAGGATCAACATGGCTTCCACGGAGCACTCTTCTCAAAGTCCTCTCCTCTTGCTACACTTCGACTTTCTCCCTGCCTTCTCTCTCCCTCGCCCCCCTTCTCGCTGCTATAAATTCCACAAGCGCGTCTGCAATCTCTCTTACGTTCTCGACTCCTGAGCCGGCTTCTGGGAAGCAGTGGCTAGGAAGAGTGTTTGATGCGAGCCGGAAAGTCCTGTCGGGCTGTCGATAGGCTGGCCGGTTGCGTGCTTGATCGCCATGACGGACTGTGGGATCTAGGTGAACCGCGTCGAGTTTACTTGAGCGGGGTGACGATCGCAGTGGTGGGAGTTAGCTCGCGACGGCCAGGATCGTCGGAGATGGTATGAGGATCGAAGGTTGGAGTTGAGTGAGTGATTGGCCCGGGGCCATATTGGAATTAACGGCGAATGCGCCTTTGTTATTGCGGATCTTTATCTCTGGTGTGAGAGCCTGGCGGCAACGCCGGACTTTCTTCTTTCGGATCCTGTCATCTCCTATCTCGACTCTATCTCACCTCCCCCTCTCTCCTCTAACTTTGAATGATGATGTGTCTTGATGTTTGTCTCTCTCTTGGATGGGAGTGAATCAGTGTGTTTTCCGGCGTGAAAAGAACCTCTTCCGGAACTCTTCCATTAGTTTCCTGGGTACTCCCCCGATGTCGAGGAATTGATCTTTTTTGTCTTGTGAACGGTGGATGCATGTGTACAATTCCCTTGGTTGATTTCTGACTTATGTACCTCGTCATTTTCGCACCTTCCACAGTGAATGTATGTATGGGGATGCTTATCCTTCTGTGTTCAATAGGCGCCGCACTTGGCGGGATTTTGTTCGAGAATGCAAGAGTGTTTAGATTTGTGAATGCACTGTGCATGCCATCTGCCTTATGCTGCACGACATCTGCAGCCGATCTACCGGGCAGCCTCGAGAAACCAGGCGCCTGGGATCACCACCGAGGTGGGTTACAGAAAACTGAGTTGCGGGTCGGTCCCTTGGTTGCATGATGATCGAGCTAATGAGTTTCTCTCTCTCGTGTCGAAGGATTGATAGGTGATTGTGCGAGTGTTTTTGTTTCTTGATGAGGTCCTGGAATTTTTGCAATTGATTGACATGTGGACTAACAAGCACCCTTCGATCGGGCGTCAACCTCCTGTACCTCCCGTATCAACACGACCTTTTCCCTACAACGAGGAAAGGACACGTGTATGCGAGTGGGACGTACGAGAAGTTGTCGCGCAGATCGGCGGACGATACTACTTCCCTGCAGCAAACCGTTATTCAGGGTTCGTAGAGGCTTGGTTTGTCATTATCGATACACACTTTCCACCCTACTCGATATTGCTGTCATTCAACGAGTTGATAGTCATTCCGTGGACGGCAGTAGAACCCCACTGGCCGCGTACTCTATGCACCGAATGCGAGCGTTTTGAGCGCTACGAAACCAAGGGTTTCCACTACCGTGTGCGGAGTGAAGACGAACATGGAGATAGAGCCACGCGAAAAACGACGGACCGTAGCTAGGTGGGAAGTCCGACAATATTTTCTGGATTGAATTTGTATTTCTCTCTCCTCTCTCGTGCCAAACTTCCGCGCGCGCAGTTTACGCCGCGCGAAAAACGATCGACTTACTTCGTCGGAACGACACGGGGGATTTCAGTTCCGTATGTGTCCCCACACTCAATTTCCAAAAATCCTTGGCACACCCGATCTTGTTGTTTTTCTGGGCCTCTCTCCGCGCATCTAGCACTCCGAACGAAAGACAGCACAGGGCGTGAGGTTGCGCGTCACATCCCTGGCGAAAGTGGCGTCACTGCAATGGCAAATTGAACTCCGCTGCCTACCCACAAACGACTGGCTGATCAATAGAACAACCCTGGAACAACGAGGGCTAGCCTTGCCGTGGTGCAAACTTTGCGCATCGACCTTTCCACCAAGATGCCGACCAGAAACAATCGAGCATATCTTCCTGCAGTGCCCGGGGTCAATATGGCTATGGAGATGGTGGGACAGGGTTTGGAAACAAATGGGCACCACAATTACTTGGCCATGGGATTGGAAGGCAATACTGTGCGAAGCACTCGGAACAGGTCACATCCTTCGAAGAGAACATGTTCAAAATTGGGAGGCGGGCGATGCTCTGGGCGCTATGGAGGAGACGTTGTGTTTATGAAATGGAGGCAGTAAGACTGGATGGCCAAATCTTACAGGAAGAAATTAGACTGTATGTGGAAGCTGAAATTACTATTCAATGGGAAAAAGTAATAGAAAAATTAGTAACCCTACATACTATAATGGAAATCAACAAGCACATCCAACAATTTAGCAAGGATTGGCTGGGGGGGACCAGGGGAAGCCCATTGCAAATATTCGATGGGAAGGGGAAGGGGAAGGAGAGGG